CAACTTACAAGTATCCCCTCTAAATATCTTACTCATAGCTTATCTCACCTGTCGAAGTATGTCCTGATGAGGGCTGCTACTAGGGAGAATTAGGCAGATTTTGAAGTTGATGGAAGCTTCTTCATTTTCAAATTTCAAAAAGAGAATAGGAATTACTGTATGAAATAAAGGGAATTTATAACCAGCATTCATAAATTCTTCAATCAGGAATTTGTTTAAACCTATTGTCGGAAGAACATCACATCAATTTGGGTTTAATCAATCAAGTCATTTGTAAAATTATGATAAAATTACCTGTAATCAAATTTCACCCTATTCTTTTGCTATGAACATGTATGTGTTTATAAAGACTTGAACATGTACTGATCATGTTGTCACTCACAGTTAATGTTATTATATCCGTTTTTATACGATTGTCTCATATGCTAAAAGTAAATATCCCGTCAGAAATATCCTTAAAAATGTTGCTCCATAATCCATACCAACAAATTAAAATTTAGGAAAAATGTAAACTAATAATCCCACATTTAGTCGGTCTTCCATAAACAATCCCACCTTTTGAAATTCCAGAAACAATCCCACCTTAAACCCCCATCTTCCATTAACAATCCTTTACCGGTTGTATGGTTTTGATAACCGGTTTTCATAGGTTATAAGACACGTGTCAGGTTTTAATAGGTTTAACTTTTTTTTTTTAAAAAAAACAAACTAATAAAAAAAATAATAATAATAAAAAAAAACAAAACCAAAACCCCCAGCCTAGCCACCGTATCCCTTCCCCATCCTGCCACCGCATCCCCTCCCCATCCCCGCCCTTGCCTTTCCCGGCAACCCAACCTACCCCTTCAAGGCGTCGGAACCCAACCCCTGAAGCCCGAAATCAGCACTTGCAGCCGCCTAGCTTCCCCAAAAACCCAACCCAATCCGCAGCCCAGAACCCCTCTTTCTCCTTCTCCTTCTCTTTCTCTCTTCTCTTTGGTATGTTTCACTCTCCTCTGAATTCATCAATTCATTCCCTTTCAATTCGATTTTTCAGATGATTGAAATAATAATTTGCATTTAATTTCAAACCAAAAATTGAATTGGAGACGTTGGGTGACGTTTTTCAGGGCCGGAGTAGACTATTTCGTGGCTGGGGTGGAGTATTTCGTGGCTGAGGATTGAGTTTCAGCCTTTTAGGGGGCTGGTGTGGGGATTTTGTGGCAGTGGGTGGAGTTTTCGTGGTGGGGGTTGGGTTTCGGGGGTGGTTATTGGATTTTCCGACGTGGTTGGTGAGTTTCGTGGTGGCTTGGTTGTGGGGTGGCGGTAAGGAGTGAGTGTTGGGTGGTGGTTGGACTAGTGGCTTGAGAAGGAGTATAGTTAAAATGAATAAATAAATAAATAAAATAATCTGCTTAACAAGTTGTAGGTCAATGGGATCGTTAGTGGAAGATGAGGCTCAAAAGTGGGATTGTTTCTGGAATTTCAAAAGGTGGGATTGTTTATGGAAGACCGACTAAAGGTGGGATTATTAGATTATAATTTTCCTAAAATTTATGCACTTGCAACTTTGCAAGCTTTGCTTGATTTGCAACCCCATTAGGTCTCTTTATAATCGGATTTTTTGCTCTCTCTTTATAATGGGAGTTTAAAAATCCAAAAGCCCATTCTACTTTGCATTACAATTTTTAGTACAGTAGTTGCAGCCCAAAAAATCTTATTGGGTAACATAGTTATATAGCTCATAATAATTTTAAGCAAGCGTTTCTTTTTCAGTCCATTTCTTATGGTCTAACACTCTTGCCAAGAAACGGAAATGACGTACAACCAAATAATCAGATAATCTACTACACAAAGCATGGGAAAGCCACACCTTCACATCCTCCCTAATAATCCTACGAAGCTCCATGAGAGCACTACCTAGAAATCCTAGAATAACAAGATTTTCCGATTGAACCTTTCCACATTGACAAGCCAGTTAGCTGCACGATTACCTTCACATAATTTATTCATAAATGGAGAATTAGGTCACTTTATTATCACAATATGTTCAATGCAAAGGCGGACTATTGTAGAGGTCGGACGGGCGTAGGGAATAGTTTCAAGCCTTTAATCCCACTATCTTGAACCTCACTGTGATCATACACTAAAGTACGGTGGCGTCCAAAAGGGAAGAAGATAGAGTAAAAGAGTCGCCAACAAGTTTTTAAGGAACTTGTAAACCGTTCATATGATGAAGGTTACACCCCTTAACGATCCAAGAGATCGTCAACTCCATAAGGTCATGAACCAAATAAGGGTTCGGGGATGAAGGTACAAATCCAACCTAAAAGAGATTGAACCTGCCCTAATAATAGGACTCTACTTTATTCTGCTCGTATTCATGTGCGCTTTCTGACTAACATGCAATCAATAAGATTAACCCTAAACCTGTTTAATCTATGTTGGTTGAATATTAATGCACAAATAAACTATTATTGGCGATCACTTGAATTATAATCACATTAACCCTAAACAAGATTATCAATTATCTTATTAAGCGCGATTGCAAATACCAAATTCCCTTTAACAGGCAATAAAGGTGATCAAGCAATAACAATAAAAATATAATACATATCAAGCAACATAATAAATAACATCATTAATAATAATAATATCAATCATAAATAATGATAATCATAATCATGTTAAAGCATAGCATGATCCTAGGCATGATACTAACAAGATTAATAACAAACCCTAACATGATACTAACAAGAATAAATATTAGGAAGAAAATAAAAGGCATCATAGCAATCATATTTAATATTAAAATTACCCTAGACATGATACTAGGAATCATAACAACAATATAAACATGATTTCTACATCATAATATAAATTAAAGTACTTACTTGGATGTCTCGTACCTCTTTCTAATAACAAAATACACGCGTTAGTAACTTCAAGGAAAATAATAATCAAAACAATTAAATTAAATAATTGAAAGAGAGATTTGGGACCAAACCCTCAGAAATTAAAACCTTTCACGTCTAGGGCGAAGGCAACTTCGAATATGGCTAGGTGTATCTAGATCTTGCGAATGCGGAATTTTGTATTTGAAAAGCAAGAAAGAATGAAAGATGAAAGAATACTTGAGAATGAGAGAATTGGTGAAGGATGAATGAAAACTTGTGAATGAAGAGAGTTGATTAAAACTAATTGTTGATGAGAATTCGTGAATGATGATTGTAGATGATGATGAAAACGGAATTTTTAATACGATATTTATAAAGAAAATCAGCCAAAAAAGATAATTTAACAAAACAGAGTCTGAAGATCGCAAAACAGCATTGGCGCCAACCCTGGCTAACTGGCGCCAGACACCAGTGGCTAGCGCCAGACGCCAATGGCTAGCGTCTGGCGCCAAGCCTGGTTCTAGGCGCCAAGGCCTGGGTTTGGACGCCAAACTGGATTTCAACGCGTTTTCGAAAATCTGATAAATTTCCCGTACTGGAAGATAAAATAATATAATTTCTTCGAAAATACTATTTGATCTTAATTAAAACTCTGAAAAATAAACAAAGTCAACTTATCAATGCTAATTGAATTAGGAATGAAAAGAACCTTCTAGAAGATTCTAGAAGACTAAAACCATTCCTAATTGCATTAGGAATGATAAATTATATTAGGCCCTCCCCTACATCATTGGGCCGTACATGAAGCTCAAACCGGGCCCAGTTTAGTAAAATTGGCCATAACTTCCTCAATATTCATCAGAATTGGGCTTATAATATATTGTTGGAAAGGTCTTTGCAAGCCCCATCCAAATACACCACTATTGGACCCATGTCATGGACCAACCAAACTTGATTGATTGTTTTCTTAAAATAAAGTTTTCCAAAACAAGGAGAAGAGAAAAGAAATAAAACTTTCCGCAACACTAGACCTTCCACACTTTCACTTCATTCGATTATGATTCGACGCGAAAGGTACTCATCACTGAGTTTGGTTTTGGGGAGACACAAATGGGTGTCTACAACGGGGTTTGGCCCCTGATAACATTTTGGATAAAAATTTTTATTTAGTGTAAAGACCCATTTTAACTAAAAAAAAAAGATTGGTTTGCCGGAAAGCTAATTAGTAATTATAGTATATATACTCCTAATCTACCAAAACTACTCAAGCATTAAAAAAACAAATTGATTTTTAGGCAAGGTCAATAAATTATTAGGTTAAAAATATAGAGCACGTTTTGCCTTCTGGTATGTCGTTCTTTATTTCTCTACTTTGGGCATGTTCATATTTGCTAAACTAATTGGAGGTGAACTGAACTGAACTAAACTAAATAGAGTTGAAATGAATATTTTATGAGAGAAGAAAATTAGGAGTTGAATTGAACTAAACTGATTGAAGCTGAAATTAAACTGAAGTGAACATACCCTTAATCTATCAATTGACAAGTTGTTTTTAACTTTTGATTTATACTTATGATTTGTGAATTGTAATGCTTTGATAATAAATAAATCAGTCACTAACAAATGTATGCTTAATTGCTTAAAGTTAATCACTAGAAATTATTGGCCCTCGAAAGAAAAGATTTCAACATCCGCCACTGGTTCAATGTTTGAAGTTAACTGATGTCTAAATTATGTTTGAAGTCAAGTTCTTGCAGTTACAAGCAAAGCATGAACTAGATTTTTTCTTTTTCTTCAAATGTAATACGAAGTATGAATTATGAAATAATAAATAAAGATATATAAACGTTTTCAAAAGAAAAAAAAAAGGATATATAAACGCCACTTGATCCGTATGTTAGCGAGTAAACTTTGAATTCCAAATATGCATCGAAACAAATCTACAATTGAAAAGATATAAATTGCAAAAATTCTTCTAATGCTACCATAATAATTGTCAAAGTTTCAAAAATTACTATTGGTGGTCAAGAACACAAGCTAGGAGCATGTCATCGGTTATGTAACTTTGAAATGAAAAGGTCAGCATTACCTCAAATACAAACTCAATTTTCATATTTCTTGCCATCACTTAAATATATTGCCATTAACCACTTATTAAAGTAACCCAATGTGCCATAATTCATTTAAGAAATCATGAAAATTAAGAGCAAGCAAACCAAGATTAAGAAAAGAGTGAAGATGTCAAACTCCGAGCCTTTCCTCGATGATAATGAAGTTTTATCTGATACAATGATAAGGAGGAATGGAAGACATGAAATTCTTAGTCAGACATTACAAAGCACAACAAGCTTAGCCAATCTACTACCAACCGGAACCATCTTAACCTTCCACCTTCTTTCTCCTGTTTTCACCAATCGAGGTGATTGCGACAATGTAAATGTTGTGATGGCTTCCACCTTTCTCATGCTCTGTGCATTATTGGTGTTCATTCTCTGCTTCACCGACAGCTTTAGAGACAAACGTGGAAATATCTCTTATGGTTTTGCAACCTTTAATGGTCTGTGGCTGATAGATTCTGAGGTACCTCTATCACCACGGCTGGCTTCCAGGTTCCGTCTTAGAGTCCTGGATTTTGTGCACGGTTTCACATCAGTATTGGTTTTCTCAGCAATTGCGCTATCTGAAAACAATACAGTAAAATGTTTTTTCCCATCACCATCCAGAGATCTGCAGCAGATACTCACTGCGCTTCCTGTTGGAATTGGATTCGCCTCGAGTTTCTTGTTTGTTTTGTTTCCTACACAGCGCCATGGAATCGGTTACTCCTTCCATGCCAAATGATCTCGCTTGCTCAACATTAATCTGGTTTCTGTTTCTTGAATGCTCTTTCTGCTGCTATGCTCAGAGCTTCCAAATATTGTTATTAATTTGAAATTTTAGTGCAAAACTCATGTAAGACAGTTTGACTAAAGAAATCTCGACTACTGTTGGGCAAAGATGATGATGATCAGAGGATAATCATTAACTTCCTCCACTCTTCATTAATTGCTTCAATTCATAACTAGGAAAGTATGAAGCATTTTACAAAATAAAATTACTTCGTTTATTTTTATCCACTATTTCATTTGTTTTCCAGCTCATATTATTATGTAAGTCTCTCTAATTGTATAATCTCTAAGGCGTTGGACATATGTTTAAAGAAAGTAAAATATAAATCAATAAAATTGTCTCACTAATTTCAAAAGTCATCGGCAGACTCCAATAGCAAAACAAAATAATCGAATTCATAAAAGAAAGGATGATTTAACACATTTCTCTCTAATTTGGGATAGGATGGCTAAAATAATACAAGCATCCAAATAAATACAAAATTACAAATATACGCCAATATAAATGACGTCCTACAAAGTAGGCACACAAAAAAGGAGCCGTTACGTTATAAACAAAAGCAACAACACAAAAGTGATACAATCTTTATAAAAAATCATACTCTAAAATGTCTACTGTATTAAACAAGGTACTCGACATGTTTTAGAATAAAAGCAACACCCACACAAACAAAAAAAATATATTAGTAAATGCAAACAAAGCAGCACAACTGATTTTCTGGAAAACATACCGTACAAGGGATGAAAGTAATGGACAAAAACATTATATCATATCAGGTTCTAAAATAGCCAAGAGAGCTCGGTCTGATGGTGCGATTCCAGACCTTGCTGGATTTTGGTGGTGAGAATTTCTCTTCCCCCCCCCCCCCCCCTCCTTCCGGCCTACAAAAATGGACTGAGTTGAGTGTATGGACTAGTAGAGAATTGAAGCAGGATCCTCCTACCATCCCGAAACTAAAAATTCAGTACCTGCCAATCTACCATGTGTATTACATAATTTTCATGTCTTAAAGTAATAAGAATTCCAAAAAATCTTCTTAATGAGCCTTGTCAATATTACTAATTCATCAATATTTCACCCAAAACAGAATTTTCAAAAAAGAAAAAAGAAATTCGCAAACAGGTAAAATCATACTTAGTACTCCGTATATCTAAAATATATACATCTGGTGATCACATGCTATAAGGAACCACCATAAGTTATCATTATTAATAAACCACTCTTTCAGGCCAAAATTAAAGGGTTTATAAGTCCAAGAGAAGATAAATTATCATCACAAAGTTTAAGCTAACTGATATACAACCGTGCAAGTAACTTTATCCAGAAGTTGCAATCAGCAACAAATTAAGTAGAAAATTAGGTTGAACTCCAAACACCAGACAAAAATAGGATGAGATAATATATCTAAAAGCAACCCTTAGTTGTGATTTACTATAAACTTTGGCAAAAAAATATCCATTTCAGATGCTCTATAATCAATATAGTAGAATTCTCCAGCAGTTGCAAAAAAGATGCAATGGTTATACACAAAACATTGAAATAAGTTGGAATTCAAAGCAATCTCCCAAAATGTGTGCCCTCTCATCTTGTAGACCGATGTCAAATTAAGAAATGCATCGTAGCTCTTATAGTTTCATAACTGTAAACAATTTATAATATCTTTATTAACTAAATTACAGGAGCGACTTTCCCATGATTCTAATAAAGTAAGCTTTACCTCAAATATAACTTAGTTTCTTCTTTCTTGCAAGGCATTACTAACCAGCCCTCCCATTCCTTTTGCTCTACTCAATGCAATTATTAGCCATCCTCCCCCTCTTATAAAGCAGTCAGCCTCTCAAAGACCTGTAAAAAGCAGAACAGAGAGCAATCAGAGGAAAGATCAAGAAAGCGAGACATGGATGTCAATACAATCAGTGAGCAAGATCATCAGAGTGATGAAGAGCAAAAGGTTCCCCTTCTCCGAGATATACCTACAGTGGACAGAAATCCAATACAAGCAGCCATCAGCCAGACATTTCAGAGCACGGCTCACTTGGCCAATTTACTACCAACTGGAACAGTTATGGCCTTTCAGCTTCTCGCACCAGTTTTCACAAATCAGGGTGAATGCGACCCAGTGAGCCGAACGATGACTTCCATCCTAATTGCTCTTTGTGGGTTGTCATCATTCCTACTCAGCTTCACCGACTGCTTCAAGGATAACGATGGGAAAATCTATTATGGGTTTGCCACTTTCAACGGACTCTGGGTGATAGATGGGCCAGCAACTATTCCATCCCAGCTTGCTTCCAAGTACCGACTTCGGTTCATAGATTTTCTGCATGCTTTCATGTCAGTATTGGTTTTTGCAGCAATTGCCTTATTTGACAAGAATACGGTTCAATGCTTCTATCCAACGCCATCAAAAGAGACCCAAGAGATTCTTACAGCACTACCTGTAGGAATAGGAGTACTTTGCAGTATGCTCTTTGTAGCATTCCCTACACAACGCCATGGGATAGGTTTCCCTGTAACTGCTAATTGATCATTTGATGTAACACGGACGCCTTACACATGTTCTTATGTGACTAATTTCAAAATTGTATATCTTCGATATGCATTATATTGTATATAGCTCTAGCTGCTTCTACATCTCCACTGACTCTACAAAATGCTCTAATAAGATCAATTCATCCTATTACAGCCTGTGTTTGAAATAAATAAATAAATAACTGATACAAAAAAAGGAAAGAGATAGAAGGATGAAGACAGAATTACCAAATACAAGTCTGCAATAAGAAACAAGCAGCTAAACTTAAGCTACTTTCAACAAGTTGTTCACAATAGAAAAGTATCACAAGATTCCTAGTGCTATGAACAAAAATTGGGAAATAAAGGGGAGATTATAGGTAGTTGTTCAAGATAGAAAGGCAACACAGGATTTCTTGTGCTATGAACAAAAAGTGGAAAATAAAAAGGGAGATTAAAGGTTATCATCTACATTAGGAACAACCAATGACAAATAACACAGCAATATATTCCTTTTAGAGTAAAAGGCCCTAAATAATATCATTTCGCAAAAACAAAGGATACTACCAGTCATAAGACAGAAATGACTTATCACATTCATTTGCATTCAGATCTCAGACTATTCCAGAATCTAGCAAATCTTCTTTGATATGGTCTCGTTTTTTTTAGTATATGATTATACATTTATTGCTGAGAACATACCTTAATATTCTGAGCATTGGAACAAATAAAACTACCATACTAAGGTATATTTTGCACCAGATCAAATGCTGTGGTTCAAAACCGACTTTGTCAAATTAAATAATCCTTACAAATGTTTCGAGTGCCATAAAAAGATGTATAGAAAAAATAGTCAAGATACAGTAGTACCCTTGAACACGAACTGAAAGAAAAAAAAAGTAAAGGAAAACAAACCTATAAACAGCAACCCACCTTGCAGGAGATATTCCTTCAATCTAGATCATTGTTGATGGCCGAAAGCTACTAGCAAGGAGAGCCATCAAAAACTTAAACCCACCGAACTACTATATACTTAGTCTTGAGCTTTTATATTTCATAGGTATTTTGATCAATCGATAATTTCTCAAGCTCATCAATATCCTGTACCAACAGCATGTGAAAGCTTTCTATGGTCTTCAATATCTTTTTTTGATCGAGAAAAACTCTTAAGGTAGTCTTCCATATCTCCTCATCTGGTAGACAACCATCACAAACCATCTCATCAAGAATGCGGCAAACATTGTGCAAGTCTCCTTTCTTGCAGAAGCCATTGATAAGAGAACTAAACACTTCAGATTCAACAGACAGACCCCTGGTTCTCATACTTAGGTACACATGAAATGCTCGATTGAGATCAACCACACAAAGTCCTTGTATGACAGCAGCATGAGTCCTAACATGAGTACTCCAAGTTAACCTATTCGGTGAGATTCCAGCAAGGACCATTTCATCAAGGAAATTGGCAGCCTCCCGGAACTTGCCCAAGTCAGAGAAACCACTAATGATCTTAGCATACAGTGCAGCATCAGGTTTAAGACCTTGAAGTTTCATTCTGTCAAAAAGTTTTACAGCTTCACAAAGATTCCCATCTTTACAAAGTCCAGGAATTAGAGTGCTATAAGTTACCATGTTGGGAGAAAGATTATGGTGAAGCATCATATCCAGTAGATCTAAGGCATGTAAAGATCGTCCATGCTTGCAAAGACCATCCATCAACGCACTGTAGGTAAATACATTTGGCTTAATGTCTTTGCTTCTCATCTCCTCAAACAATGTCAGAGCATCACCCAACTTTTCAGATTTGCACAGACCATGCATCAAAGTAGTGTACGTAACAACAGAGGGTAGGCAACCCTTTGTATCCATTTCTCTGAAAAGTTCATTTGCTTCCTCAATTCTTCCACATTTACACAACCCACTAATCAATGTGCCATAAGTATATGAATCTGGAGGGCACTGACGATGTGGCATTTCACGAAATATATTAATGGCAGCACCAATTGTCTCATTGCTCTTACAAAGGGCTTTAATCAAGATATTAAGAGAAACAACTGATGGTGGAATACCTTTTTTCTTCATGTAACGGTAAAAACTCATGGCCATCTTTAACTGGTTTTCATCAACAAGAATTGAAAAGATAGAGATGTAAGTCTTATCAGTGAGTTCACATTCATATCCTTTCGCGTTCTTAAAAATCCTAACAGCCTCCAATGGCTTATGAACTCGACCATATCCCCTACAAATGGAGAGGATTATATCCTCATTAACCTGACACTTCTCTTCCTTCATTTTGTCAAGAAGCTCCTCTGCAGGTCTAAACTGATTAGCAGAGACTAATCTAGAGATCATTCGCCCAAAAGTAGTGTGGTCATGTTTAAAACCATTTTTGTACTCAGCTGTTGCCGAATCAAATATCGCAATAGCCTTATACAAGTCTTTTTCAGCTCGAATTAGCTGTTCCACCTGTGATGTTGTAATCTTCTTAGACCACTTCAACGCCGCCTTGGTTCCCATGATCGCGACTATTCAAGATCAACCAATCTCATATCATGGCTCAAGACGTTCTACACAAAAATAAGTCCAACAATATGTAACATAACCTGCAAGAACACAGAATGACACACTGCTTGAAATCCTTTCCGATATCTTTGACAAAAATTCGACACATACATTCATTAGATTTTCGATAAACCAATTACAACAGTTAATTTGTTTTAGCAGTGTACATAAATTTACAGTCAAATTCCAAGCATATTATGCATACATAGCAACAAGCCGAAAAATCGGCTGCCATAGCACAATAAAAAAGGGTTAATTTTCATAGTTATGTCTTACAAAAAGTATTATAAACAACAGATTGCAACAAATTAGCAATTACATTTGAAACAATAATCAAATTAAGCTCGAAACAACGCATGACAATCTTCTTGCTTACAAATTAACGTGAATTACACATAGCAACATTCTAGCAACAAAATCGATAATTATAATCATTCATAACTTGAGGAATTATAATCAAGAGTTCAATAATCGACATTGGAAGAACCCTAAATTGACAATATTGCTATTAAATTAACGATAAATTCTATATTGTGAAATTGATATTTGATGATTTGCTGAAGAAAAACGGTAAATGAAACACAAACACTTACCTTTGAAGCTGCTTCAATGGAGGAGAGCAAGCTCAGAAGCCGCTTCAATGGAGAATGAGTTCGAGCTTCAATGGAGTAGACAGAAGGAGGTGAGTGTAAAATGAGAAAAAGTTTCAAAGGAGAAAAAAAAATTTGAAAACGGAGGACGAAGATTAATGACACGCTTATATGGAGTAATGTCCACCGTCAGATCTAAGGTTATGCAGTTATGCCCAGGGGTGAGCATGGGACGGGTACCCGTACCGTTAGTACTATGGTACGGGTACCCGATAACCAAAATCACTAAAAGTGATACCTTTAACCGAAATCGATAAGTTCGGGTACTCGAATTCCGTATCAGTTATCGGGTACCCAATAAGATATCCGATAATGATAATTAAACTTAATTATGTAGTTATTATGATATAATTTACAACTAATTAAAAACAATACCAGACCAAATTATTAATAATATTACTAACATTGATATTATAAAGTGATTATGAAGTAAAGTAAAAGTTTAGATTTATATTAATAGATTTAAGTAGGGAAAAAAAGCAAAAAAAAAAATGCTTATCGGATCGGATCGGCTAACCGTTAATTTTAAAATGATACCCATAACCATACCCGATAACAAATTATCGGAACGGGTACCCGAATCGTTATGGTTATCAGATTGGGTACCCTAATTTTCGAAACGGTTACGGATCGGTTTTTCGGGTTTTTGGTTTTTCGGGTAGTTTTGCTCAGCCCTAGTTATACCCAATTGACTCACGACTGATTCTAACTTACCGTCGCAAATAGAGTCATGGTAATATCAAGTGGACCAACCGCTCACCCACTCCACCCGCCTTATCGGACAGGTGAAAATCTAATAGATGGGTGACGGATTAACGAATGCAACCATGCGGGTGACGGATTGGATCCGAGTAGACAATTTTCGCCCACTTATATTGGGCTAGGCCCAACTGAATATTTAATTTCTAACCTAATGTCCTAATTCCTAACCCTATCATTTCAAAAAACCAAGCCTCTTTAGATTCGAGTAGACAATTTTCAATTTTTTTTTTTAATGTAAAATGTATAATTGTCAAAAATCATATAACTAATATATAAGTGTCACGCTACATTGGATAGATTTCATAAGATAAAAAAAATTAGGTAAGAATTCTGTTTTCAATCAAATTAGGGTAGAATTTTAGAATAAGATTATTAGTTTAGAGTTATATTTTCGATAAAATACCAAATAATAAATTTATAATTAGGCCACAAGACAACATCATTTAGCGTTTTAATTTTTCGCCAAGTATCGTACCACGTTGGATAAATATAGATTGAATTTGTAGCAAAAAGAGTTAATTTAGAATTCTATTTTCAATCAAATTAAATTATAATAGTAGTATAATTTTATCTTAAAAGTCCATAAACTATCCGGGCATCGCCGGGGCACAAACTAGTCTTATTATTAAAGATATTCCGAGATTTATTATTAAAGATATTCCGAGATTTATTAAAGATATTCCGAGATAATATCTTGACTTTCTTGACATTGTTTCTCAATTAATATTATTCATGGATTTTCAGCATATATTTAGTCTATATCATTTGACTTTAGATTGCTTAATTCAAGGAGAGTATATTTTGTTATTTTGTACTCCGTACATTATATTTTAGGTTTCCTTATTAGCACACGTACCGTACAACTATATTAGAACAGGTTATTCCTTCAACCTAATTTTTCCTCCCCACATAATTTCTATGGCTACTAACACCATTCCTAATGATGTTGAACCTAACTATGCTCTGTTGTCAACCTCACTAATATTATCAAACTCAATTCAACCAATTATTTATCTGAAAAAATCAATTTGAGACTATACTTGTGGGATATGACCTTTTCAAGTTTCTTCATGTATCTCACCATGGCCTCCTCCATCCATATCTTTTATATTTAAGTTAAGTTTATATTACGGATTAGTAAAAGATATATTTGATTATATATTAAATCCCACTCAAATATACTAATTGTTTAAATTAGCGAGGTTGACAACAGAGCACAATTAGCTTCCACTACAAGAAAACAGCTAAATTGCGACGGAAAAAGTTCGTCGTAAACTATGTAAATTCCGTCGTAAAGTTGGTTTACGACGGAATTCCGTCGTAAATAGTTGTCAGAAAACCCTTTGTAGGAAAATGACCATTTTACGACAGAATTTCCGTCGTAAACCAACTTTACGACGGAATTTACGACGGAAATAATATTGTCGGACTTGGAATTGGCCTTTGCTGAAGATCCGTCGCAAACTTCCGACGGAAAAAGTTCCGTCGCAAACCTTAGATTACGACGGAATTTTCCGTCGTAAAATATAATTTACGACGGAATTATCTGTCGCAAAATATTATTTATTATTTACGACGGAAAATTACCTCGCAAAATATTATTTACGACGGAAATTCCCTCGCAAGTTATTATTTACGACGGAAAATTCCGTCGCAATGTATATATTTTACGAGGGAATTTTCCGTCGTAAATAATATTTTGCGACAGATAATTCCGTCGTAAATAATATTTTGTGAGGGAATTTTCCGTCGTAAATAATATTTTGCGACTGATAATTCCGTCGTACATTATATTTTACAACGGAAAATTCCGTCCTAAATATGTACATTACGACGAATTATTCCGTCGTAAATTGTATTTCCAGCCCAAAACAAATTTTTGTAATTTTCTGCATTTTCAAACCTGAATTTTTTTAATGATAAATCGACAAAAAAAAACTAAATATTGAGTCCTAAAATTGTTGTTTAAAAAAAATTAATTACCGACCTACGAAATTAGGGTTATGTACATATATATATAATAATTATGTCCTAGTACAAAAGATAGTCCACATTTTGGTATCTATACCAAACAAAAGTTCGGTTAGAGTGATTCTATGCTAGACTAAAGCTAAGCTACGCAATCGCTTGGAAACCCTGGCCTGCTCCACCACCACCCGGGTCGTTCCTAGGGTCTCGATGCTGAGGATGAATGGTGGAACATGAGTCGTTGTTGGTGAGACGACTCATCATCTCATCGAAACTCTCCTTGTATCTCCTCTCCATTTCAGCCATTCGTGCTTCCATTTGAGTTTGGAGAGTTTGCACCCTGTGTTCCATCTGGTCTTGCATTTGAGAAATGACAGACGGCGTGTATTGCTGTGAAGAACGGGAACCTCGACCCTGTTTGCCATAGTAAAGCTCTGCACTTTGGCCAAGTCCCTTCACACGCCCCTTCTTATTGCGCCCACCCACCGACTCCCAGTACAACTCATTGGGACTCTTCTGAATCCCCTGACTCCTTGTTTCTTCGAGCTTCTTCTGGTAGGTGTCCTACAAAATATTGAAGATAAAAAAAAATATTGTTAAAAAAACAACCAACAATATAAGGTAAGGTTTCTTTCTTCTAACATTCCAATATCACATACTTTTAGGTGCCTAAGGATAGAAATTAAGAAAATTAAGCACATAAGTCAATTTTCAACCCTCACTCATCCAAAATCATCCAAATTTGGGCTATATCGCTAAAACCATGCCTATTTTCTATGTTTTCAATGAAATGTAAGGTTTCTTTCTTCTAACATTCCAATATAAATTTCTTTTAAGTGCCTAAGGATATAAATTAAGAGACAAAAGCACATATGTCAAATATCGACCCTAACTCATCCAAAATCATCCAAATTTGGCCTATATGGCTAAAACCATGCCTATTTTCTATGTTTTCAAGCAAATGTAAGGTTTCTTTCTTCTGACATTCCAATATCAATTGTTTTTAAGTGCCTAAGGATAAAAATTAAGAGAAAAAAGCACATAAGTCAATTTTCAACCCTAACTCATCCAAAATCATCCAAATTTGGCCTATATGGCTAAAACCATGCCTATTTTCTATGTTTTCAAGCAAATGTAAGGTTTCTTTCTTCTAACATTCCAATATCAATTTCTTTTAAGTGACTAAGGATAGAAATTAAGAGAAATAAGCACATATGTCAAATATCGACCCTAACTCATCCAAAATCATCCAAATTTTGCCTATATGGCTAAAACATGCCTATTTTCCAAGTTTTCAAGCAAATGTAAGGTTTCTTTCTTCTAAAATTCCAATATCAATTGCTTTTAAGTTCCTAAGGATAGAAATTAAGATATAAAAGAACATAAGTCAATTTTCAACCCTAACTCATCCAAAATCATCCAAATTTGGCCTATATGGCTAAAACCATGCCTATTTTCTATGTTTTCAAGCAAATGTAAGGTTTCTTTCTTCTAACATTCCAATATCAATTGCTTTTAAGTGCCTAAGGATAGAAATTAAGAGAAATAAGCACATATGTCAAATATCGACCCTAACTCATCCAAAATCATCCAAATTTGGCCTATATGGCTAAAACATGCCTATTTTCCAAGTTTTCAATCAAATGTAAGGTTTATTTATTCTAACATTCCAATATCAATTGCTTTTAATTGCCTAAGGATATAAATTAAGAGAAATAAGCACATATGTCAATTTTCAACCCTCACTTATCCAAAATCATCCAAATTTGGCCTATATGGCTAAAACCATGCCTATTTTCTAAGTTTTCAAGCAAATGGATTCGTTCTTTCTTCTAACATTCCAATATCAATTGCTTTTAAGTGCCTAAGGATAGAAATTAAGATAAATAAGCACATAAGTCAATTTTCAACCCTAACTCATCGAAAATCATCAAAATTTGGCCTATATGGCTAAAACCATGCCTATTTTCTAAGTTTTCAAGCAAATGGACTCGTTCTTTCTTATAACATTCCAATATCACATACTTTTAAGTGCCTAAGGATAGAAATTAATAGAAATAAGCACATATGTCAATGTTCAACCCTAACTCATCCAAATTCATCCAAATTTTGGCCTATATGGCTAAAACCATGCCTATTTTCCAAGTTTTCCAAGCATTCACATTTCGACCTAGATCTCGTGTTTTTGTGTCAACTGAGGGCTGAAAGTAATTGGAGCAGAAGTTTGATATCTCTTCAGTGAGATAAGCGTTGCATATGGAACCTTCAACACGAGCCTTATTACCAATTTTTCGTTTCAGGTGATTGAGGAACCTGTAATTATGTTTATGTAGCCGTAGAAGTATAAGTAACGGAAATCAATAAAAGAGATGAAAGTAAGAGTTGAGAAAGGACCTTTGATTTACCTTTCGAAAGGATACATCCACCGATGTTGAACAGGTCCACATAACTTGCCCTCATATGGCAAATGAATTGGTAAATGCTCCATGGAGTTGAAGAAAGATGGGGGGAAAACCTTCTCAAGCTTGCACAGGATCTCAGCTATGTTTTTTTCCAATCGCTCCATGTCGCTAACTGTAATTGTGTAGCAACATAAATCGCGAAAGAATTGGCTTATCTCTGTAATTGCATTCCATATATGGGTAGGGAGCAATTCTCTCAAAGCAGTGGGCAACAACCTCTCCATGAACACGTGACAATCATGACTTTTCATTCCATGTAACTTACCTGATTGCAAATCAACGCATCGGCTCAAATTGGAAGCGTAACCATCAGGAAATCGCAGCTGTTTGACCCACTCACACAAAACCTTTCTCTGAGCCTTGTCAAGAGAAAATGGAGCCTTTGGCATGAATTCTTTTCCTCTATCATCCTCTTGAAGATGTAGCTGGGGCCGTTTACAGTATTTAGCAATGTCATTCCGAGCTGATGGCGTGTCACGAGATAGCTTTTTCACGTCCATTATAGTGTGAATCAACTGATCAAAAAAGTTTTTTTCAACGTGCATGACATCTAAGTTGTGACGAACAAGCAGATGTTTCCAATATGGAAGGTCCCATAGAGTGCTTTGCTTGAACCACCCTTTTTTTCATTTTTGAGACGTTTCAGTGCCTCGGGGCCATCTGTTGCTTTCGGGAGGTTTTTCACACATTCCCAAAGTTCCTCTCCTGACATGATGTGAGGTGGTGAACCTTTTTCGACTTTGTTTTTACAAAATGCATTTTTACTATTTCGAAAAGGATGATTTGTCGGAAGGAATTGACGATGGCAGTCAAACCAAGAAACCTTACCACCATTTTCGAGCCAAAATGCTTTGCTTTTCTCCATGCAATATGGACAAGCCTTCTTACCGGCTGTGGTCCAACCAGATAACATACCATAAGCTGGGAAGTCATTAACGGTCCATAGGATGGCTGCTCGAAGATTGAAATTTTGTTTTCTCGAAATATCGTAAGTATTTGCCCCAACTTCCCACAACTGTTTCAACTCATGTATGAGCGGCTGCATGTAAACATCCAAGTTGCCCTTAGGGTTTTTAGGACCAGGAACGAGTAACGAAAGAAACATGAACTGTCTTTTCATACACATTGACGGAGGCAAGTTATAAGGGGTCAAAATGACAGGCCAACATGAATATTGTCCCCCAAACTGACCATGTGGAGCAAATCCATCCGTACATAGGCCAAGTCGAACATTACGAGGTTCAGAGGCAAACTCAGGAAAGCAACTATCTAGGTGTTTCCACGCTTCACTATCGCTAGGGTGTGCCATTGTGCCTTGAACTCGAGGATTTTTAGCATGCCATGTCATTTCCTCAGAAATGTTTTTAGTTGCAAAAAGCCTTTGCAACCTAGGTGTGATAGGGAAATAAAATAGAACATTCAAAGGCACTAAGCTACCTTTAGAAGTCTTCTTGTATCGGTCGCTGCCACACACCCTACATGTAGATAATTGAGCATCATCTTTCAAAAACAACATACATCCTTTCGGGCATGCATGAATCTTTTCATGGGGCAGCTCTAACCCCTTAACAATTTTCTTGACCTCATAGAATGTCTCGGCCATGTGGTTGTTGTTAGGAATCGCTTCATTAACCAAAGAAGCAAGTCCATCAACACATATGTGCGACAAATTTTACTCACACTTTAGGCTACTGATTCTAGAAGCCATCTCTAACACATACAATGAACTCCCTTCGTATAACGGTTGTTCAGAAGCCCTTAACAAATCAAAAAATGGCTTGGCTTGTGCATTAGGCTCCTCCTCTAATGAAACAGGTGGCTCTTCGGAATGGCCTTGATCTTGAGACTGACCAAAGGCATCCAAAACCATTTCACGATATTCATTTGACTCCCCGAGTTCCTGGAAACCCTTCCCCATGACACATCCACTCGTAGTAATTAGGTAAAAAACCGCTGCGATACAGATGAAGTTTGACCGTATCTGGATCCCAGAGACGTTTGTTTTTGCATTTAAAACATGGACACCTAACTTCATTCGGGTTGCTACTCTCGGGATGATCTTCCACATATTTAAGGAATTCATCTACCCCCTTCAAGAACTCAGGATTAATAGAATTCCCAACCTTCCTTTCGTACATCCAGCTACGTTCTTTTCGTTTCATGATTACAAGTTCTACACAACTAACACATATGCCATTAATCACATTAGTCATAAAGCACAATATATATTCATTATAGATCAAACTGTTATGGAAATGCAAATGAGAAGAGAAATGATTTCCAAGGGTCCTTATCACTCCAACCTAACCCATCCTTGTACGTTTAATCTCACTAGTGAATGTATGCCAAAATTTCAATTCTATGGAAAATCCGGCAGCATCTCCCTACAGTTCCCCGAGTACACAATATAGGCGATTAGAAACACCTATATATGTACATAGAGAACATTGTAGAGAAATGACAAGCAAGGATCTTCCTTAGAATTAAAATTAAGGAATACATTCACCACCTAAGTGAGAATAAACGTACAAGGACGGTCCCAACTGGGGACTATTCAAGACATACTCCTAATGTGTATGCCTTGAACGGGTATCTAGGCATATGATTATGAAAATGATTTTTTAAAAAATATATATACTTAACTAACATACATAATATTAAACAAATATATCAAGATTAAACTAAACAAGAGAAACAAATCAAACCAAACCAAAGTAAACTAATATATCATATTAAACTAAACCAAACCAAACTACTGTTTTATATATTAAATTAAACTAACATATTTCTAAAAAAACTAAACTAAATTAAGATACTTTATATTAAAATAAATTAAACTACAACACATTATATTAACATAATATTAACTAAACTACATTATGTTAAACTAAACTAAACCAAACTAACATTGTTTATTTTAAAGATCAAGGAAGCAATTAATTAATTATAAGATTAATTTAAAAATATATATACTTAACTAACATACATAATATTAAACAAATATATCAAGATTAAACTAAACAAGAGAAACATATCATAACACCATACTATTAATATAAACCAAATCAAACCAAACCAAAGTAAACTAATATATTATATTAAACTAATCCAAACCAAACTACCGTTTTATATATTAAATTAAACTAACATATTTCTAAAAAAAAAACTAAACTACAATAAGGTACTTTATATTAAAATAAATTAAACTAAAACACATTATATTAACATAAACTTAACTAAACTACATTATGTTAAACTAAACTAAACCAAACTAACATTATATTGTTTTTTTAAAGAGAAGGGAGCAATTAATTACTTATAAGAGATCATCAATGTCACTAAATTAACCAAACTAAAAGTTATTGAATATCTAACAACCAAAGTAAGATACACATATACATTATATTAGGGTTTGTAATGTAACTAACCTTTAGATCTGCACTTCTTTTTAACAATTAAACCAACAAAATTGTACAAATCCTACAACAAAATTAAAAAAATAATAATTAAGGCTTTATAAGTAAACAAAATTAAATTGAAAAAAAAGGGGGGAAAGCAAAGGCAACTTACTGTCAGGCGGAGGTGGGGCGTCGCCGGAAACAACCAAGGGCCGGTGGGTTCAATCACGGCTAGGGGACGGAGGTGCGGCTGCGTTGTGGTGGTTATATGTTAGCCGTTGGTAGTTTTTTTGCAAAAAAAAAAAAAAAAAAAAATAATTGACAATTGCACACACTTACCTAGACGCGGCGGCTCGCCGGAAACCACCAGGGCTCGACAGCTCTCCCTTCCTCCCTTCCTCCTTATCTTTCTCTTTCCCGTTCTCTTTCTCCTCTCTCTTTCTTTCCCGTTCTTTTTCTCCTCTCTGTTTCCCGTTCTCTTTCTCGCCGGCTCATATGCGTCGCCGGCGTAAAGGGAAACCACCATCGCCGTTCTCTTTCTCCTCTCTCCTTCTCTCTCTCCTTCTCTTTCTCTCTCTCCTCTCGCTGCTTCAGTTCTCTCTCTGCGTTTCAATTATTTCCCCCTTTTTTTAGGGCAAGGTCGCAATTTTAATTTTCAAAAAATGACAGTAAATTTTACGACGGAATTTATTTCCTTCGTAATTTAAAACTTACGACGGAATATTCCGTCGCAAAACACTTTACGACGGAAAATTCCGTCGCAAGTTTTAAATTACGACGGAAATAAATTCCGTCGTAAATTTTATGAGGGAAAATACCTCGTAATCGAAATTTTCCGTCGCTAAATTGCGATGAAATGTTTCCCGTCGAAAATATCCACATTAACGACGGAAAAACATGTTCGTCGTAAGCATTCCGTCACAATTTAGCCTATTTCTAGTAGTGTTCTACATCATTAGAAATGGTGTTAGTAGCCATAGGAATAATGTAGAAATGTTGTGAATTGTAAATAGCTTATAAATATGTAGATTGTGCTTTCTCTAAAAAAATAAATGTAAATTGTGATACAATTATAAAGACTTTACTAATTTGGATCCAAAAAACCGAAATAACCGAAATATGAAGGAATTATTTTATAAATAAATATGGTTAATATTTATCATGTTAAACTATGTTTATGATTATACTAATATATATCATGTCAACCTATGGTTTCATACTTGTATTAATCGTGTACAACTATATTTTTAAAAATTTATTATTACATTTTTATTTTATTTTTATAATCACATTAGGACCAAAAAACTAGCAATGTATTTTAATTTGGATTTCGAATTGGATCCCAATAATTGAATTATAATTCGGATTAGATTGGATTTGGTAAGAAATTCATATTGGATTGGATTTGAAAATTAAAAATCAAATTTATTTCGGATCAGATTAAATTTGGGCTAAATCCAAACCGAAAACCGAATGGACACCCCTACCTATTATATTAGGTCACTTGACACGTATCAAGTCCTAATTGGTCCAAAATTTAAAAACAAAAAACCAGAAAACCAGCCATCTTACCTTCCCCCCCCCCCACCAATCCACCCTAACCTCCATTACTACAGCCCAGCCCGCCGCCCCTCCCTTTGTCGGACAGTCGCGTCTCTCCCACTTCTTGCGTCGTCATTTCCCCCATCTCCGAAACCCCCTTCCATTCTCCCACGCAACCACTGAAACCCCAAAATACCAGCCATTGAAACCCTAAAATCACAAATTCCAGCCAAAAACCCACCAACAAAAATGGAAGTTTCAGGGGTGGGTTTGGTGTCTTCGGGAGTAGTGGAGGGCGAGCTGTCGGCGTACATGTGGTTGGATTTCGTGGCTAGGGGCATTTGAGATGACAGAGAAAATGAAAAGGGGTTTCATAGCTGGGGGCAATTGGCCAACGGGATGAGGGAGGGGTTGGCGAGGGGAGGGGAAAACCAACGCGGTTTAATTTATTTCTCTCATCTAGCTAGTGGACCTAATATAAATTATATTATATTTTATTAATTTTATATTCACATTCTTTCAATTCTCTCAACTAATTTTGCTTTTTACAATTTTTCATTCTTCTATTATCCCACCATATCTATATTTTATTACTTTATCCAATTTCCTCTAAAACTCCGCGCATAGAGAAATAAAACAAATGTTTAAAAATAGAAAGAATATATGATATATTTATTTGAAAAATACGAGCTACAATGAATCTAATAAGATTTCAAATAAACATGTTTTTTCTTAAGTATTCATATAAAACCCAAAATAAATTAAAGTAATTTATGTGAATTGTGTTGAAGTTAAAATGTGTAAAACTGTAAACTGATGTAAAACAAAGAAAGTAAGCATGTAGCAAATTTGCCATGTCCTCCACGCTCCACCACATTTTGTTCCCTAATTTTTTTTTGTTTCCCTTTAGCCATGTAAGAATTATAATGAATATGATTGTAATTCCATCACATAATATTATTATTTATTACAAATAAACCTCTCTTTTTTTTGAAAACAATAGCTGAGTATTTAAATTATACTCACTTTATTTCCTTTCATCATAATCATTATTTTATACATAGTTTAATGCACACATTTAAAATAATCATATTTAAATACGTATTGTACAAATTTAAACTATAATTGATTGAGAATCAAATAAAATCTTTCATAGGTAGTATGTTGTTTCCTATATGTCTATGGAAACAATATAATTTAATTTGCAATATATTGAAATTTCTATGAGGATTTCAATAAAAATTAATGTGATCGTGTAACAAAATATGTCATTCGCATCACATTTACTTAGGCTTCCCGTATTCATAAGCTAACCACGAGCTCAAAACAAATTATCCTGCTACGAAGTTAATATTCACATAATTTGAGTGGATTAATTAATGCTGAGTATCCAAAACACATACGTATATTTTAATTTTTCTTTTGCCATTTACTTCTCTTAAACTATTTTTTTGTTTTCTTCTCAAAAAAATTCATCTTATATTCTAATGTTACAATCAAATCACAAATAAAAAAGGAATAATATAGATAACAAAATTGAAAAAAAATAAAATAATAAGTGTTGAAAAATTATGATTGGACAAGAATCATATATAATCACAAGACAAAACAATGCACACCACTCACTTACTATGGAGTGAGCTTGGATAAGGTTATCACGAACATCCCGCCATCTTTCAACACTCCCTCATCCTTTTCATTTTCTTCATCCAAACACACCCTTATTCTCCACAAGATCCTCTACACTCAATCCTACCTTCCATTTCCCTACTCCCTCAATCTCAACCGTCCATTTCTCAATCAAACCCCATCATTGGGTCCCTTATTCACGGTCCATTTTAATTAACATGAAATGGGATGTACTTGATAATAGTTTTCATAGAATCAAAACAAAATATCAACCGCTAGTTTTAAGCATTGTTTGGATTCCAATGCTTTAAAAAACTCTACCTCCACAAACTTAGCCATATATTCATATTCCTTAATAATTTCTAGTGTTTGTTTTTTGCTGAATTGTTCACTGTCTATTATGGAGTCGCGAGTATTGTCGCGGACTACGGCGATCGCCGCCCTCCCGAAGCTATTCCGGCCATCGAGAGAGGCGGCGAGTTTAGGTGTCGCCACCGGGGTGAAGACGCCGGTTGGATTGATTAAGGATGGTGGGAGTTTGACATGGGGAAGGCAGCTTAGGCCGGTTTTGTTGTTTGAACCGCTTCAATCCGGTTCGGTTTGTGGTGCTACTAGGAGGGAGAAGACAGCGGTTCAGCCGTGTCGTGCCGCTAGTGGTTCTTCCGGGTGAGGTTCGTTTAACTTCGTTCTGATCCGGTTCGTGTCGGGTTGTCGTGTTGGACTAATTTTTGTTTTGTTTTTGATCAGGGAAGCTAAGGTTGGGTTTTTGGAGAAGTATCCGGCTCTTGTCACCGGTTTTTTCTTCTTTATGTGGTATGCATTGCGTTGTTATTTTTGTGTTGTTCATTAGTGTTACTGTGTTAGCGGTTCAATTTAATTGATGTTGCTATTGTTAGGTGTTAGAAAGTCGATGTTAATGTCCGAAATTAATCAACCTCACACAGTCACATATTAGTATGTTAAGTGTAACAACTCTGTTAATATTTATGTATGTGAGATTGATCTATCGTGTTTTGCTTTGATTCAAAGATTAGGTTTATTAAAATAATAGTAATATTTAATAGGGACATAGAATGGAACTTATGACCAAACATTGGTGCTTTGGAGCTTGAAACTGATTCCCTTTTGTTAAAAAGTGTATAAGCTATCCTTAAATAATCTTGAACAAAATACAACCTCATAATTAGTCAATTCTATCTGATTACAATATCAAAAGCATCTGCATTTTATACAGTATTTTATCTATTTATGGCTAGAATTAAAGAATATTTATATTTTGGTCAAAACTCAAAAGAAATACGAAGTACTTGTATATATCTAGCTAATGAAAATTAAGGAGTAAGGATTTTCTAACGTGTGCAATTTCATTATTCTAATTTCTAACCAATCAAATTTGAAACATTAATTAAATTTATGTGCTGAACTTAAATTAAGAAAGAGAAACAATTTGATGTACTTAAAATACTAGTACAATTTATACAATAATTTAAGTGGCAGATAGACCAGAAACTTGCTGGTCTGGCCGGTAGTATCCAAGGTTTCAACTCAAAGGTTTTACTTTTATTTAATCGACAACTAGTTTTCGGCAAGAATCGTGCACATTTGCAGAAAATACACCATTTTGGTAGACCAAGACATACTTTGAACTGAATTTCTACCATTTGAATTAGTACTTATACGTTGAAATTCAATTCAATTCAATTCAATTCAGCTCGGTTGAGTTTAGCTCCTAATTTCCTTCTCTTATAAAATATTCATTTCAGTTCAGCTTAGCTTAGCTTAGCTCAGTTCAGTTGAGTTCAGTCAATGAGAACAAACCCTTAATTTTATAACTCTTATAATTAGTTTATTTTTTTTAACTGAGAGTGAGGGATAACTCAAGTAGTTAGAGCTCATCTCTCGATTCTTGGTGATACGACAGACAAACAAAGCATGCATCTCATTTAATCATTTAGATGTGATATTTTCCTCTCTTGTAATTTTTATAACTCGAACAAATATTTGAAGATTATAATTATAAATGATCTATAAATTTTTAGCAAGCAAATTAATTTAAATAAAAGAGAATATTCCAAGTAAACAGTAGAATAAAAATTTATAAGTAATGAATATTATAATCACGAAATTTATAACATCGATTAACATAGAGTAAATCATCATTTCATTAGTGGTAATTTTCGACTTTTTACTTTATTTTTTTTTAATTTTTTTTTAAATTTTTAACACATACACAAAATAGAGAAGAAAACATGGTAGGGTCACGCCAACTACATCGTTTTGTAAAATACGCCAAATATTTGTTTTTCTATATTTGTTTTTTTAGAAAAAATACGCCCTAAACATATGAGGATTTCAGTCAAGCTAAATTTGTTAAAATACATGATTAGATAACCGATGTACCAATTGATTGATTTGCTTTTCAACGTGCTTTACCTCCACTTCCCAATCGATTCTCAAATAAAGATATATTATAAATAATTTCAATTTAGAAAAATTAGTTTCAATTCTGTAAAAATAATTTCAATTAAAAAAAAAAACAATTACACCCAAACTTTTTCTACGCATTAATCATGCACTTAATTTTTAGTAGGGTTGATCCTCAAACATTTGCAATTTGGAGTTACAAAAGTTAAAAAATTGGTAATTATATTATTCCATACACAACTGCAAGTAGTTGTAAATTTATCAAAATTTCATATATTTAGTTATGTTTTACCAATGAATGAAATAGAATCTATAAATCATAGATTGAACATAGCATTAGGTTTTTTTTTTTGTTTTTGTTTTTTTACGAAAAACCTAGCATTTCGTTTAGATTCTTTAAATAATATGTTCATTAAAAAATTATTTTCATGTAAATCATCGATTTTCAAATGAAAATTTACAAAAAAAAAATATCTAAAGAAGAAATGATAGGAATTTTCTTAGAATTTATAATCAGTTGCATAAGTACTAGTGTTTTAATATCAATCACTCTAATCCATTTAATTTTTTCGGGTAGCATAATTCATTATTCTAGTGCATATTTTGATTCTTCAATAATTTAGCTTAATTTGCAAAAGTTAGAATGTTTAAAAAGAAGCAAAATGGCTTTACTTTTATAATTGTTAGTTACGGTTATTTTGTAACATGTGTCAACATTTAGAGGCGGATTTAAAATTTTATTGTGAAACAATAGTGAATTTTTTAAGATTTTTTTTTTGGTTGGCTAAATTTCATTATTTCTTATTTTTATTTTTTTTGGGCTAACATGTACTCATATGGTATCTCTTTATTCCTTGTGTAGGTACTTCTTGAACGTTATATTCAACATTCTTAACAAGAAGATCTACAATTACTTCCCATATCCTTAGTAAGTATTCTGCCCTTTTTCTGGTTAAATACTTCTTATTACTAAAAATAGTTTTTATTTTATTTTATTTTATTTTGTAACATTTTCTTGGCCAAACATAACTGAGTTGTGAGTCTTGTGACTTAAGATATTTGTGTGGTGTTGCAGCTTCGTGTCGGTGATCCATTTATTTGTTGGTGTGGTGTACTGTTTGGCTAGCTGGAGTGTGGGCCTTCCTAAACGTGCTGTAAGTTTATTTCTCCACAAAAGCCCGTTTACTTTTTATTTAGTCCAACTAGCTTAAATGTCCAATTAACTTTGTGGTGCTAATTGTTTCTTTTTTTTCAGTGTGAAATTTCTCCCACTACTTTTCTTTCTTCTAGGCTCCATACCTTTTGCTTAATCATGTTTAGCTGGAAATTTCTACCTCCATTTCGTAATAATTGCAACAATTTGACTTTGACTACACGTTTTACTAATACATAAAAAACTTATGTTGCTATGTAAAATATTATTGGATTAATCTTTATAGCTTTTGCTTAATCATGTTTAGCTGGAAATTAATACCTCCATTTCGTAATAATTGCAACAATTTGACTTTGACTACACGTTTTACTAATACATAAAAAAGTTTTGTTGCTATGTAAAATATTATTAGATTAATCTTTATGTGTATAATAGTATATTTCATTATATTAATCTTTTATACCTCTTAATAATATACAATTACATATACTAATGATTAAAGTTATGCATTGACACGTGTTCCAAACAATGTGAGTGTGACGAGTATTATGAAACAAAGAGATAGTTACTTGGGTGGATTTTGTTTCAAGTTTATCAAAAAATGAAAATTTCATATAAGTGAGGGAGGGGAGAGTTTGTGTTTGGTTTTGGGGTAGTACTTTTTAAAACAGCTTAAAATAGAAGTTAAGTAGTCTTTCATGAACACAGGTTAAAGTATAAGTTTGTGTTAAAAAGAAAAAAAAGAAAACAAACTATCAACTCAATTATCCATGAATTCCTAATGATAAGCTAGCATCTATACTATGGGATTTGTGCAGTATAACTGTATAAGAGATGGCTTAGCTTCCTGTTCTTCAGTAAGAGCTACAACCCATAGTGTTTTAGGCTCAATTGGTTTAAGGTGACTAGCAAATGAAGTATTTTGCATAAGAATTTGATTATCATAAGGTGCATTTAGTAATCATGCGGATTTCTGCTTAATATTGACCATAAATTTTACAGAAAGATATTCAGCATTCTAACAACGTGATAATTTTTTGATATGTTTGTAGCCTATCGACTCAAACCTTCTGAAGTTGCTCATTCCAGTTGCAGTATGTCATGCACTAGGCCATGTTACCAGCAATGTCTCTTTTGCTGCTGTTGCAGTTTCTTTCACCCACACTATTAAAGGTGACACTTTAAGTCTTTAACTCTAATTTCCATTATGCTAGCAGTATGCTACCATCCTTCCAAATGTGTCTTTAAAACTTCTGTGCAACTGGTGTGGATCGATATTATTTGTTGTGTAACTATATTTGTATTTATAGTCTTTATATGAATATGTGCTTCTATTTGGTATTGTGCAGCCCTGGAGCCCTTTTTCAATGCTGCTGCTTCTCAATTCGTTCTTGGACAGTCTATTCCCATTACTCTCTGGCTCTCCTTGGCTCCAGTTGTGATTGGTAGGTATCTCTTTATAGCTATCATCTTCATTATGTTAAACACAGGAAGGGTAAAGTTACTACTTAGTAGTGAGCTCTTTTAACTAAAAGATTTTTGTTGCTGATTTCTTTTAAGTAATGGATAAATATAAAGTAAAAGATAAATTACACAAATGCATAAAACTTATGCAAAAATACTATATAAAAGATTTGTCCAATGAAATCTTGTATACACTCTTACGAATGGTAACTTGTTGAGTGCAGGTGTTTCCATGGCTTCCTTGACTGAGTTATCATTCAACTGGCTCGGCTTCATCAGCGCTATGATTTCAAATATTTCCTTCACCTACAGGAGTATCTACTCAAAGAAAGCCATGGTTATGCTTCTCTTGCAACTTCTTCAATTACATCTGCATTTGGATTTCGCTTCCTAACAACTTATTAGTGTATTTGGCTTTCGCTTCATAACAATTTTTCTCCCCTTTTTTCAGACTGACATGGACAGTACTAATCTCTATGCCTACATTTCCATAATTGCTCTATTTGTGTGCCTTCCCCCTGCAATAATTGTAAGTACACAGAAATGTGTTTGTTCAGCAAATCTACTATTGTGTTTTCTTTTGATAAAATTGCGAGTTGTTCTATCATTCTAATTGTTGTTTTTTTTTGTTCATGTTTGCTATGTATGATGTATCCAGGTCGAGGGTCCTCAACTTATCAAGCATGGTTTCAGTGATGCCATTGCGAAAGTGGGGATGACCAAATTCATATCAGACCTCTTCTGGGTGGGAATGTTTTACCACCTCTACAACCAGGTCCATTTTCGTCCTCTTTTCTTTGTATTTTCAGTGATTTACATTATTTTCATGCTAACAAAGATATTTGACCTCTCTTCTATTTGCAGCTAGCTACCAACACCTTGGAGAGGGTAGCACCACTTACCCATGCAGTTGGCAACGTTTTGAAACGAGTGTTTGTCATTGGATTTTCCATCATCGCCTTTGGTAATTATCATTTTCAACCATTCGCTCCGTACAAAATCTTTCTTTGGGGAAAAAATGTTTCTTGGTGGTTTATAACTAACATGTTTCCCCTTGCAGGCAACAAGATTTCAACACAAACCGCCATTGGAACCAGCATTGCTATTGCCGGTGTAGCCATGTACTCTTTCATTAAGGCCAAAATGGAAGAAGAGAAACGAGTAAGACACACTTAACAGTTAACACCAGTCTAATGTCAAAATTGTTGTCCTGTAATAGCATTCAGACATTCAATTAACTTGATTCGAAATTGTTGTTTGCAGCAAATGAAGACTACTTGAGTAGAATGACTTGGCCCGAAACTGCATTTTCTTGGAAGGTGCTGTAGATGTGATAATTTTCCTTCCTGAAAAGGAGAACAACAAAAAAAATGTTGTAAAATTAATTTTTTTTCGTGTCAATTTATTCGATTTGGAGAATGAACCATTGCCAATCTGTAATCTTCTTGTATTCAATAATAAGCATATATCGTACTGTCTTTGGTCCCTCAACTCGAGGCAAGTGTTTGAATGGGCATTAGAGAAGAAGCAAATTGTTATGGTTGTCTTAGGAGATTTTGAAAGGTTAATCACATTACAGGTTACCCTGAATCATGGTGTTTTCTGATGGTTGAATACTTGAATAATTATATAGTTTAACATTCTCTAGTATGTTAAAAGTAAGTTTAAAAGGGTTAAATAAAAGAGTTGAGCTCGACTTCCTTTTATTTTGCCCAAACAATATGAATTTTTTGAATAGGATGTTTGCTTAAGAATTGGAAGTTGATGGCCTTGATTGCACTTCTATTTGATGATCATTAATATATAAAAAGTAATATTAATCCAAAACTAGTTATTGAAAAGATTTTATAGCTACAAACCTAAGAAGCGTATTCTGATTTGAACTATAGCTAGTAACCAAAAAAATATAAATTTTACCAAGAAAACAGTAACTATTTACTAGATAATTTATGCAATTATTGCAACTTTTCAATAACTTTAGTATGAAATATATCATATGTTTATGTATATATTCAGGTATTCTCGTGAAAATTACTAAAAAACAAGAATGAATTCACAAACGAACTATTAGCAAGCCCAAATGAGTCAATATATAGTTATTCAAAAATCCATATAAGGTCACTGGTTAGTGGTCACATAGCGACTTACTGCAACCGCAAGATTTGACCACATTTTAACTAGACTTAATTTACATTCCTACCGGATTCTATAACAAATTAGGGTAAAATCGCTTATAATGTTAGGGTTTTGCACGTGAACAATGAAGTTTGCGACTAGATTAATTTTGCGAGATTATCAAATTCTTATATGTGGCTAGCCACACCATGTGGCCAACTATCATGAGAGCTACTTCGTTAATGTTATAGGGGTTACTTGATTTAGCATTATAAGAATTACCGGTCAGTAAAGAGTTACTCAATCGGTAATATACAAGTTATTTTGTCGATGTTATAAGGATTAATTTGTTTTTTTCACAAGCGGCCACAGTAGCTAGTCGCATACAAAGAGGCTCTCTATTTTTTTCATTACGAGAAGAACAGAATTGAGAGGGAAAGTGGGAAGTCAAGACGTGAAGAGTAGCAGCAAAGTGGCAATGGCGATGACCTTACCAACGGCGTACCTCGCCATCGCATTCTTCCTCTCTCTCTTCTCCACTTCCAATGCTGTCACTGTTGATTCCACTGAGATCAACCATCCTCAATTTCAAAATCACCAAATTTGCTCAAATTCTGACACTAATTTGGAATGCGAAATCCAGGATATGAAGCTCAAAATTGCTCGATTAGGTATCTCTTCTCGATTTCTTCCTAATTTAACAATATTCATGATTGCTGATTATTACCTTTGTAATTTCGACTGTATTTGAGTGTTTTTGATTGGGATTAATCTGGAAATTTTCCGTACATTTGATTTGATTTGTGAGTAATTAAGTTCGATGATTGATGGAGCATAATATCATATTATTGAAAGTATTTTCATTATTAATTTCATTGATTTTGTAAATTGGTACAGTTCATCGCATTGTAATGTACAAGTACTTCGTAAATTGGCTTATAATTGAAAATTGATTCAAAATAGTGATATTTGAAGTTGCATTCATATTGTAGAATGATTTAATTTCTTGCAACAGAAGAAAGTTGTGAAACGACTAAGATTTTGAGTAGAAAGGAGAATAAGAATAGCTAAATTCTCTTGTAAATTGAAGTTTATGCTAATTTCTGATTAGTTTGCTTGAATGTTGACATTTATCTGCAATTTTGTCGGTTTCAAAGCTGATTTCAGTCCAACTGAGCAATGATACTCCGTAAAAATTATAAAAGTATATAGTAGTTTTATATTATGATTCAAAGTTCTCTGTGTTTTTCATTTCCTGCAATTTTAGAAACGATTGATAATATTTTGCTAGATTGATAAATAGATAACCCTGCTGATTGTCTTGATTCGAGGCTTTAACCAAAAATGGTGTGAAACGAATAATAAGGCTGCAATCTTCTGCAAATTCTGCTGATTTTGGCTTATCACTTTTCCTCAGCTTAAAGTTTGAAAAGATTAAATTATGTTATACCTTTCTGTGTACTGACTAATTTTGTTTTTCTTATGTTTGTGGTCACTTTGTTCATTGGTATATGAATTAGGTCACTTTGTTCATTGGTATGTGAATTATTGCAAAATTTGGAAATGTTATCATTTGACGTTGTTTTAAGTTCTGATTTGCTTATCATTCCTTGCAGACGTTTTAATTCCTATAGATATTTGTTCTGAATGATATCTACTCATATATGTTGTGGATCAATATTGCTACAGAACATTTGACTGAGATGACTGGCCAAGAACTCGACAGTAAAAGCCTTCTTATTGGAAATTGTGAGATGAAAATTGAGGAGCTTAGCCGTACTATACAACACCTGGATTCTGATTTGTCCAACTTAAAGGTCAGCAGCTTCGTACCTTTTTCCATGATCTGGAAGTTGTCAGTTGTTATTCCCTTCATTCCAAAATAGATTGTTAGCCACTTAGCCAAAATCTTTTGATCCTAAATGTTTGTTACTCTACAACATTAATGCATCGTTACATGTTTTTTTTACTTTTTTATTTTTTTAACATCAATAGAAGATTGTAGGTCATTTCATGATATCGATGTAATATTAGACACCACTTTGTCATGCTAATGCAATTTTAACTAAATTGAACTGAATTCCTTACAAGTGTATGGGATTAGAGGTGTATATCATTTACACATCTGCATTGTTGAGTTTGCTTGACTATACAAATATACCTATGTTGTCTTTGCGAAATTAGGAGGAAAGTTGAAAAGAGGTGAGAAAGCCATGATTTGCCAATGCAAATGTTTATAATGTGATAACGCTTGTATAAGTTTTTATGATTTTGTAATATGCTACATCAAGGCAGTGGCGATTCCAGGAATTTGTCATTATGGGTTCGGACTCTCGAAGTTCTCGAATATACCAGGTTTTTTTTTTTTTGGACTAGAAATATAGTTAGTTAACTGATGTTTATCCAAAAATATTATATACTACTCCCCCCGTCCCTAAACTACATTCCTCCTTTCTATTTTTGGTATTCCAAAATTACATTCCTCCTTTCTATTTTTGGTAAGTTTTTTTTAGTAAATCAACTCTCTTTTTCTGTTTTATATTTAATGCTTTCTCACTCATCCTTACCTAATCTCACTCATAATCCTTGTGCCAAATTACAATGAATATGATTGGTTAAAAATTTTCAATTAGGAGCATGTGATTGGTCCTTTTTTTTGCAAAGGATTGATGACATGTCATGAGTAATAACTAATCTATCTTTGTACTTCCCATTGCATTATCTAATTATTGTTATTTGTCTTATTCTTTCCTCCTTAATTTCCGTGTAAATTTCCAAAGAGGAATGTAATTTAGGGACGGAGGGAGTACTTCCGTTTCATAATTTTTGCAAGTTTGGAGTATTATTTTTAAGATATAAAATATTTCAAAATTGCAAAAAAATATGAAACAAAGATAATATAATACTTGTACAAAATAAAAGTATGATGGTGTAAAATAATACATGTATAAATTCTTTGATTTTAATGAAAAGGAAAAAAGTAATCCTAAGTATACAATAGTAAAATAAAAATAAATATAATATAATACTTTTTTTCAAAGGAAAAAAATATAAAATAATACTTGTATTAACTAAAAGTATGATGGTATAAACAGTAAAATACTAAAATAGGCTATTGTGTTAGGGTTTGGCAAGGGGTTTGATCCCGCGTCCCCATCTAAGAGAATACTTTGCACGTGAATTCTTTGACCGCTGAACCACAGAAGGTATAAATGATATAAGAAGTTGCATTTTTTATTTAACTTAGAATTCTTTTTCCCCTCTAAATTACGAATTTTCCCCAAATCCAGTATGGGTTCAGCTGAACCCATACTGGAATCGCCACTGCATCAAGACTGCATGATTTATGACCTTACCCATGCCTAACCAAATTAAAGTGCCTGAAGTGATAGTTGTTCTAGAGACTTTCCAACTATGCTGAGGAGCTCATCAACACTGCAAAAAGCTTCTTGATATTTCAGTGATTGGATGGCATCTAATAATCAAGTTCAGGCGCATTTAAAATTAAAACAATCAGGGGATTGAAAACTAAGCATATTTTCATAACTGTTCTAGCTACAGCTTCAACAAATTAAAATGGAAGGATCAATATGCAGCTTAGCAGTGTCTTGTTGGATTAGTACTTGTATTTGTAACTTGTTTTCTCTGCCTTGGCTTGGTCATTTACATTGATTAGCTAGCCATGTCTTCTAGATTGCTCTTTTTTACTGAGCTTTTCAGCTATAGTCTTAGCTTTCTATGTTTTCATTGCTTGTTGGTTCTCATGGTTGACACCTTAGCTGTGAAAGAAATATTTCCACAAAATGGATTGCTTCCATCTGTGTTAAACCTTGGCTGTGGATGGCAAAAAAGTGACTTTTGTATGGAAGATGCTCCCCTACATTTTTGGAGTGACCGGTGTCATTCTTCTACTTCTAGAGTTTTCCTTCTAGAGAGGATGAATACATTTGATATTTATTTCCCTCAAGTTAATTCATATAAATCAAATCTCATCACTGTGAACGTAATTGTGTGCATATTTTGAAAGGTAATATTGACATTAGCGCTTTAGGATTGAGCATTATATTTTAGTATATCGTAAATAGATATGGAAATTTTTAAATAGTTCAAAAGAGTAAACCTACCTACATCTTCAAGGAGACAACAAGGAAAACAAAAATTCTATTGTGTTTTTTCCATTTACACTGTCTTTAATGCAATCAAATTATCAAATACTATCTCAACCAGCCTTCTTTATTTCAGCAATGGATTGTCAATTTAGCCATGTCAACTATTTACTAGAGAATGTATATTAGTTATGCTAATAAAATCTGCAGTACATAAATGGATTCATTTTTATGCACATCCCAGTGTGTATTCTTGGTTGTTTTCTGCATACGTCATCCAAAGACCAAACAAGAACAACAAAAATGTTCCAACAAAAATCAAGATCCTGTTGCTCTGTAGATAAAGTGATTTTCTCTTGTAACAAATTGATGTTTTTTTACCACTAACTCATTATGCAAGTGTTTTTGGATGTCGGTTATCTATTAATGAGGCTGGACAGTGGTTCAAGGGTCTCAGTTATCTTGTATGATTGATAGAGGCAGCAAAATCTTCATGCGAGCCAGGATTTCTGTACCCTCCAAAATTTGAATGTGAAAGTTGTTTGGATGTATAGACTATAGAGCCTTGGTAGCGAGAGAAAGACAAATTGCCGAGCGCATGAAACCTAATAGAGAATGTATTTTAGTCATGATAATAAAATCTACAGTACATAAAGTGGGTTCATTTTTATGCATATCCAAATGTGTATTCTTGGTTGTTTTCTGCATGTCATCCTTCATCGTTTGGTTGATATAAATGATCGCTTATGAGTGTTGACTATCTTTTTGGCATAAAACTTTGCTGAATAATTTTGACCTATGGAAGCCTTTTTTTGTTTGATCTTGTCTAATGTGATTGAATGTTTACTATCTCTTACTGTATTAATGATTAAATAAGCTGGAAGCATTGGTGTTCGGATCGCGGGATCGGTATAAAGTTTATCATCTTTACTCATCTTGTAAAATAATTTGCAGGATGCACCAGACTATGAGGAAATGATAAATTTGCTTGAAGAACAGGTATGCTAAAGTTTATTGGTTTGGTCCACTTTGGTGCTTTTTAAATTGGGTTTTCCTTTTTAATGATCAATTGAAACCATTGAAAGGGAATAAATACCACTATATTTATTCACTTGGGCATCCTTAGGTACGAGAATTGGAGGCTGTCGTTAGAAGAAATGACTTGAACATCAGTCAATTGAAAGTCAGGGTTAAGGATGACAAGAGATCAGTGGAATCGCTTGCTTCAAAAGTTGAATTGGTAAGGCATAAGCTAGAACAGAGTAAATTCATCAATACATGCAACTGAAATGTTCTCTGAGACTGTATAGTCACTTTTGGAAAAGTAAAAATTCCGCTTGTCACATTGACATGAAAAGTTCATCCTGAGTAAGGCATATGCAGGCTTTATGGAATGAAAGCAAAGTTAAGAAGAGAATTTCACGAACATTACTGCCCAAACTAGCAAGCAAGTCTTTTTGATTTTCAAATAATACGAAATGCTTAAAACACTAGAATTTTCTGCCTGCAAATTGCCGTACATTCCATGTGTGCCAACAGGATCTGATTTAATTTTAATTGTTTTTCTAGCATGCTGCCCATGCAAGATACTATACAGTTTGTTTGTGACCTTTAAGGTTCTGATTGATGGTATATTCCAAAATACTTGTCAGTATCCTAAAGTTACAATGCCACTGAGATGTCCTCCTCTTGTAAATTATGTATGGAGTATATAAACTAGGTATTACTACTTTCTTATAAGAGACATTCAGGCTGTAATATGCCTTTGTTGTTACTGATTAACCGTTGAAATTGTTAAGCTATCATCGTACATTTCCTGGGTGACAACAGGTTTTTTGTTTTTTTTTTGTTTTTTATAAACAGTATGCCGTATCAGCTATTTCATTCCTAGCCTCATCTAATGGGCTACTGTTTCACAGATGGCAAAAATCATCCCAGAACTCTGGTTTCATGTTCAGAAGCTTGAGCAGGCTCGCGAAGTCATAGAAGTATGTCTCACCTAGCTGAAGTCTATGCTTTCTGTTCACTATATCTTTTATGCTGCCTACTGAGTTTATAACTTTTTGGCAGAGAAGAACAGGGGAGCTACGATGGCACTTACGCAATGAAAGATGTTTATTCTTTAAGGTTGTAGCTATGCACGTGTTTAAACTTTTTGTTTGATTCTTTCTCCCCCCCCCCCCTCTCCCTCTTTTCTGTGAAATTTGTATATGTTAAATGTGTAGTGCTTAGTGATTTAAATGGCAGCTTCCCTTTGACTACTTCTGTATGTTTTACATTTCCTTGGTTAACCTTTCTGTGTCTCTTGTAGTTTATTAACAAATTGCCTGGTAGAAGATATCATGATATGCTAGTTGCCTACTCTTCAGAAGCAATAAACCTACTAAGAAGATCATATACTGCTATCAAAAAGTATCACCATCAGGTTTGTCATCTCTGAATTGAGTCCCCTTCTCTTTATCATTCACTCTGTGGCCCTTTTTTTTTTCCTTTTTCTTTTTGGGGTGGGGGTTGGGAAGGGTGGGGAGGAGATTTTTCAGAATTGCTTGTTGATGCTTTGGCTCGAGTGATTTTATTTGTTAAAATATGCCTTGATTTGTTTGCTCCTATAAATAAATTTAATCATCAATATAGTTGATGGAAATCAATTCGATCAATCAAAAATTACTTAGTTCAATCAAACAAAATTCATGAGAATAGCAGATCTTACATGGGAACTAGTTACATCGTGTGATCTCCAGGCTTATTTCCTGAGGTTTTAACCTAGCCTATTCCATGACTTTATTTCACTCAAGATCAATAAAACATCTTCTTGCTTGCCGGTGGACCTAGCTCACACATTTTTAGTGAAGCATGTTTGTGTTGTTCTTGTTTATGTTCCTTGCATCTGTGTAATAGATTGATATTCCTCATGCTAATAACAGTAAAATAAAGAGAAAGATTGTTTGGTAAATTAATTTGTAAAGAAGAAATAAGAAAGATGGAAGCTTTACTATTGGTTGATAATGCTGGAAGGGTTACAAAGGATTAGTTAATAGCTTAAGGATATTACTCTCAATAGTGATTTTGCTCATAACTCTCCAATGAGTGACTTGAGGTCACAACTCTCAACAAGTTTCAATCCAATTTCTGCCTACCTTCTTCTTTCTACCCTCCCTCTATTTATGCTAAGGTTACAAACTACTAACCTAATAATACTAGATTTACCAAATTGCCCATACTACATTTGATAACTACTAACATACTAAACTACCCATAATACCCTCCCTTAAGTCACTTCATTACTATCTGTTACAACAGCAATCCTTAACACATTGTTTGGATTGAGAGAATTGGAGGGAAAGGAAGAGAAGGGAATAGAAGGGATTCATCCCCCCCTTCTTTGGATACCTTTTGGTAGGAGGGAAAGGAAGGATCCATTTCCCTTCATCTTTCATAAAACAAATCCTTCCAATGCTGGAAAGATTTGGAGGGAAAATGTGACCTTACCTTCTCCCTCCCCTTCCATTCCTTCCCCTTCCTTCTTTTTCCCTCCCCCTCCCTTTCTCTTCTACTTTGTTATCAATCAAACCGTAGAGATAGACTACTTGTTTGTGAACTTGTTATGACTCAACTTACATAGCTTTTCCTTGCTACCATTAACAAACATCTCTTGTATATTTTCCCTAGAAAGATAATGCAAGGCAAGCCCTTAGTTACAAAACTCAAGTGGTGATTAGGATTTTTGGCTAGCAATTTCTTCACCGTAGGTACCTGCCTGCTGATAATGATTCATATTTAGCATTTTCAGAAAATTTATTCATATCAAGCCAAAGGGACATGGATTACCTAAAACATAGTACCCCTATTAAGCACAATTTATTTATGTGAAAATTACTAGATTTATTTTTTCTTTAGGACCTAAACCATGTGGCCTGGTGTTGGAAGTAGTATCTTACAATCTAGCATCCAACTTTCATCTTGAAATGAGGATTTGATTCTTATTGGATGTGGGAGTATTTTCCCAATCTTTTACTCCCCAGTTCCCACCTCATGACCTCAGATGTCGTCCTAGTTCCTACTTTATTTCTTAATTTTTGGTCATCTATTTCGATTTTCGAAGTACAGAGAATGAAATGCAAAACAAGTAAACTAGAAAAAGGTGTGACATAGCTCCAATCACTTTTCTAGTACATATCAACATAGCTCCCTTGATTTTCTCTGACTACAGTAATTTGAACCCTCTGCTCTGCTATTTTATTTACCCTAGTCTGGCAGAAGCTATTTTAACAGTTTTTCATTACAAGTGAGACTAATCTCATCTATTCAGTTTCAGTGGTAGGTGAACTCACCACATGGACTTACTAGGACTTTTAAGTTCAATAGTCTCTTAAATATCAATGTCGGATTAGAGGCTTATCACTTACGAAGTATGTTATAGTCTGCTAAATCACTAAAGCTTTATAGCCTATCATTTGGCAAGCCATGATCAAAGAATTACTAGATTGGTTTTTATTGAGCTATACATCAAAGTATGTAACTTGATCTGGTTGAAGCTTACATCTCATAATAAGGCAATATGAGCTGGAGCTAATGTGATTTATGTCCAAAATTAAAATTATGCATGAAAAGCATGCTGTGTTTGACATTAGATTGAATAACTGAACTCTGATAGATTTCAGGCTTTCTTGTTGGGTTTAGGATACTAATGAATTCTGGTTTCTGATTTGAGGCTAGTTCTGTGCTTCTGTCACATATTATGTATAATGGTAATAAATTAGTAAAATCGATGTTGATGAGATTTGACCAAAAAATCAGATTCAGCTTATTATTCTTTAATGGAGAAAAAATCACTATGCTTTTTCTCTTACTTGTTTATTTGGCAGTTGTAGACAGTAGCCAGGTGCGCTTATAGCCTTAGTTTGACGTGCACCTGAACTGAGCATGCTTTCCTACTGCTTTCTTGACATTGAGCTTTTGTATACTATATTTCGTTGTGTGCTTGTTGCTAATAGATATGCTTATAGTTGCAAGGTTTTCTCAGACAAAAGATGGAGATAAATGATTTTACTGCTGTTTTTGCCAGTGAAGAGTTGGTGTTCTATCTGGTAAGTTAACTTACTTAACTATGGACCCTTAATAAACAAGTTGTCTCATAATTGAACTGATATTTTTGAGTTGGCTTATTCCAGGTGTCTGTTGTAGTTGTATTTCCTACCATTCTTTTTCTGAGATGGTTGTTATCAGTTTTTTTTTCTCTGGTAAGTTTATGATGAGCCTGGATTTTTACAATTCTTTGTCGTGATTGAGCTGAAGCAAATTTCGAGTTTGCTTATCGTAGGCATCTTCTGTGGCTGTTTTCCTGCTTACACTTGCCATGAGCGTGTTGTCGTTGGTGCCTTTTCTGGTAAGTCTAATGTGGATCTTCTTGTTTGTTGAATACTCTCTCGTAGTCATAATTAAGCTGGAAGCTGATCTTAAGTTGGATTTAATTCAGGTTTCTGCTCTAGCTGTTTTCTACCTCTTGTTTGCTTTGAGATGATTGTTGCCACACTGAAGATAACTAAGAACAATGCACATACAGAAGAACCCTAGAAGAAACGACAATTTTGGCGTTGATAATACGTAATTCAGGATTATAGGTTGTAGGCTAAATATATCATTACTGCTATACGCGAAATTTCAGTGTAACAATGTTAATGTGCAGACTATTACAGATTGTACAGTGTTTTGCAAAACATGTTCTCGTGATTATCATATTGCGGCGGTTGAATTCAGTCTGTCTCAGCACATGGAACACAAGTAACATTACTAGGAGGAAGCCTTTTGCAAGCTTATTATATAAGAAAGCTGCAAACAAAGAAAAATATGGATTATGTCAGTCTGTTAGGCTTGCCTTTTCACTTTTCTTCTTGTTTCAGGTATCATTCTTCTTACAGTTTCTTCAACCCTCCTGAGCTATTGAAGAAATCTAATTAATGAAATTTTACTTGGTCCTTCGGTGATCTATCCATGTTTTAGTTCAAAATATGAAGTATTAATAAGCGTGCAAGTTTAGTAAACACTAGCTCAATATCAAGCTTATTAGAAGAATAGAAGACACATGTAAAAATAAGTAAAAATAAGCTTATTCAATTCAATCAAGTAAAAATAAGTATCTGTTAAGTAAGGGTAAGAACTTTCAGACACAAGGACATTGTCCTAATTTAAATGTGGACACTAGTGAGAGGGAACGACATAAATGGAACATATTCCTAATTTTAGATAGTTCTACTCGAATTGCAAGTATTATGTCGTAAAAATACTTTACACACATTTTAAGCGAACTTGATTGTTAATCTTGTTAAAATGTTATTTAAAGCCTATTTATAGCACATACTTCTTTTCGTTCCTTTTATTTCTATATTTTCTATGGTTTTGTGGTTAAAGATGATTGAAGCATCTAAATAAGCATTGAAGTGTAAAGTAAGGAATTTATGTCCTCGTGTGAGTGTCGAGTGTCCAACCCGGATACAAAATAGAGTCGAAATAGCGTACTTTGACATGACACAATGTGTAGCACGGCATACATCCAACCATAAGACATACATGGTGGGCACGAGGCATAACCCAAAACCATCTTACACTGGACTAATGAATACAAGAGTGGACGTATGGAACAAAAAATTCAAACCAATCCTCTCACTCAATACTTTCATTTCTAGCTTTCTCCCAAAGCAACAAAAATGGAGGATACAACATGGGAGCAAAAATTCACAGCCCTAACACACATCTTAACAAACCCAACTACAAACCCATCACTCCACTCTCAATATTTCATTGCTAACCAAATCCCCTGTTATCTAAACTGGGATTTCCCACCTTTACTCTGCCCCAAATACCAAAACAACCCAACATTCAACTTAAAATGGAGTTTCTCTCTCTTCCTTAAAAGATTAAGGGCACCTCCTATTTCTTGGAGGTCAAAGTGCCCTTACAGTCAACCCCCACCTCTGATTTTGGGCAAAGGAGTTGAAGAAGCTAAATGGGATGATGAAAGTAAAAGATTGTATTTCAGGAAAAGATTGTTTAGAAAGAAGCTAGTGAGTGAAGTTAATCCTTTGATTCCAATTTTGGTTCCTAATGTCTTGTTGGTTTGGGTCCTCTTTTGGGGTCCAATTCCTCTCGATGATCCTTGAAGGTGTTTGATAATGTTGGTTGATGAAACTTTTTTTTTTTCCTTCTTTGTTTTTGTGTATGTGGTGGAGAAACTCTCTTGGTTGCGTTGATAATGTTGAGTTGTTGACAACTTGCACATTGCAAGTTTTATTAATATTGTCTTCTTTTATTAATATTGTCTTATTTAGAAATTTGCACAATTATATAATGTACTCCGTAACATATTGTTATACTCTTTTATCAAAAAAAAAAAAAAAAAAAAAAACATATTTGTTATACTCCTAATAATAATAATAATAATAATAATAATAATAATAATAATAATAATAATAATAATAATAATAATAATAATAATAATAATAGTTCTAGGTACATGATATTAAAAATATATTTGTAATACTCCGTATTTAAGAAATAAAAATAGAGATATAATAAAATGTCACTTCAACGTCTTTTGAAGTATTTATTTTCTGTTTATTTCATTTACTTTTTACATAATTTCAATCAATATAATTAAAATATACGAAGTATATAGTTTTAACTATATTAAAAATATATAGATTTAGGGTCAAACAAGAAGAATGAGAAGGATTTTTTGTGCATAATTTGTACTAAATGTGCAAAAAAATATTTGGCTCAAATTTGATGTGCATATTTTTTGAACAAATGTGCATATTTTTCGTTTTTTCAGGAAATTAAATTTTTTTATTAGGTTGAAACACAATTATGCACATTCAATATAAAAAAGGACATTTTGTGAGAAACTACCTAATAAAGCCTAAATTTTGTGAGAAACTACCTGATAAAAAAAATGTTGTAATAAACTACCTAATAAAAGATAAAATGTTGTAATATACTACCTTTGACCAAAATTCCACCGTTAACTTAATTTTAGGATGTTGATCCACCTTAGAACACCCCCAAAACCACCGTTAGGGTTGGTTTTCAAGGTGGTAATGTTATTTTCGGGGTGGTTGGAGGATATTTTGAGTTGGTGAGGGTAGATTAGTGCTTCGGGATGGTGGTTTTTAGGGTTAGAGGTGGTGGCTTTGGGGTTGGAAGGTGCTTTAGATGTGGTGGAGACGATTTCAAGCAAGTTGTGTTAGTTTTGGGAATGAAAACGGTGGTTTTAGAGTGTTTTGAGGTCAATCAACGGTGAAAATTCGGTATAGATAGTATTTTACAACATTTTACCTTTTCTTAGGTAGTTTTTTACATCATTTTACCTTTATTAGGTAGTTTATTACAACATTTTTTTAATAGGTAGTTTCTCGCAAAATATTGGTTTTATTAGGTAGTTTTTGACAAAAAGCCCAAAAAATGCACATTTAGTGTAAAATATATGTACATTTGTTCCTTCTCATCCTTCTCATTTTAAGGTCCTTCTCATTGGATCTCAACTATATTCTATTAGAAAAAAAAAATGTTGAATGCTAGATTATACTACCTTAAAATGAGAAGGATATATCTAATGTTTATAAGTGAGACAAACATTTCAAATGGGAAGGAGCTTTATGCACTTTTATACTACTTCGTACCATATATACTACCTTCGTTTCATATTATTTGCAACGACTATGTCAAATCAAATCTCTTAATAGCTCCAAATAGGATTATTAAAAAAATTAATAGTAAAAAAATTTGTTGGATTTATTTGAACAAATTCCTAATTAATATTGTACAATCACATTGCATTGAACTCAATTTTTTTAAAAGTAGGTTAACGATGTTAGGATCCAAACTACAAATTAAAATATGCGGGTGTTCAGGCTCCTATTTGGTACTTGGCAAGTACTTAGGGCATGTTCTCATACGTTTATTATCAGTTCATTTCGGCTCAGCTCAGCTCAATTCAGTTCAGTTCAGCTGAGTTCAGTCAATGAGAATAGGCCCTTAGTTGGTATAAGTTATTTTAACTGTTTGATTAGCTATATGACCGATTACATTAAATGATTTGACTAACTCCTTAAATCATCTATCTTATCAAATGCTAAAATAGCTTATAGCTCTTTCTAAAAAAAAATTATAAAAAAAAAAAAAAAAAAAAAAAAAAAAAAAAAAACTATCTAACTTAATAACATTAAAATAATAAATAAATACAAATATTACATAACAAAAAATGGTATGACTTTTTTTATTCATATGGTGAATTTTGTGATTGTCTTAAAATTGGAATCTTGATATAAGCATTAGTATAATTTATAATTTCTAGAAGAGAAGGATACACATGACACACATATATACTTGATTTAGATCATTTATTTAAAAATATATTATTACTAGTATATGGCCTGGATAGTGCCCAGAATTGCTACGCTGAATGTCATATCATAACTTATCGAAATAGTAATCAACGATTTATTAAATATATAAATCAACTAAGAATAACAAGTCATATAATATTTCAAAGATATATATATATATATATATATATATATTTATTTATTTATTTAATTTTTTTTTATAAGATGCCAAACAAATTATTATAGTTAATGATTTCAAAGATATTATTGTGAAGTACTCCTTCCGTCCCTAAATACAATGCCTCTTTTAAGCAATTATTCCTCACATAATAAAGAGAAAGAGGCATTGTATTAAGGGACGGAGGGAGTACTTAATTTTGAAATGGGTAGTTTTAGGTTGTTCTTTTATTTATTTATTTATTTTCTTTTTTTTGGCCAATAATAACACAACACGTGGCTTATGGGCCCACTTAACGGATTCCTAAAGGGAATCAGTTAAGTGGTGGTAATACCAAATTTTTGGAAATTTATTTGGTGTTAAAATCCATTTTTTTATGGGGGTGTTAAAATCAATTGTTGCGTTTTTGTGAGGTGCTAAAATCTAAAATTTCCTAAAATTTACTACTCCGTTGGAGTGATTTTTGCTGTCTACAAGACTATTACGATCTAGGGGTGAGCATGGGACGGGTACCCGTACCGTTAGTGCTAACAGTTCGGGTACCCGATAACCAAAATCACTAAAAGTGATACCCATAATCGGAACCAATAAGTTCGGGTACCTGGATTTTGGGTACCCGAATTTTCGGATCGGTTATCGGGTCCCCAATAAGATATCCAATAATGATAATTAAACTTAATTATGTAGTTATTATGATATAATTTATAACTAATTAAAAAAATACCATATGATCTTGACCATATTATTAATAATGTTACTAATCATTGATATTATAAAGTGATTATGAAGTAAAGTAAAATTTTAGATTATGTTAATAGATTTAAGTAGGGAAAAAAACAAAAAGAATGCTTATCGGATCGGATCGGGTAACCGTTAATTTTAAAATGATACCCATAATCATACCCGATAACAATTTATCGGAACAGATACCCGAACCGTTATGGTTATCGGATCGGGTACCCTAATTTTCAGAACGGATTTTCGGGTAGTTTTGCTCAACCCTATACGATCAATGAAGAAGTGAAAATCCTAGCTTTTATTTCTTTCCTTCTTGTTATAGGTCACCTCTTTATAATTACATGAATGTTGGGCCATTGTATATTTGTATAGTTTTCTTATTATAAGTTATAAACACACACCAAACGACCCAAGCCCAATAGTCTCCACTCTTTTTTCTTCACTAAACAACCCAACTCATTTTCCTCTTAGCCCATTATACCTCATTAGTTATTTATAGGGATGTACAAAATCCCTAAACAATTGAACCGAATATGCAGCCAACTTAACCAAACTACTAGAGTACTAGGATTAGGAACGATTTTTTAAATCTTAAGAGATATCTTGTACATTACAATTATGTCTGATTTAGTAAAGATATTAAGAGATAGAGATATCATGCATCTCTTGGTATCTTGGCCATTGTGACATACTTCATCCGTTTCTATTTAGTTGACACGTTAAATTTAGGCACATATATTAAGGAGAGGAGAGAGAGTGAGAGAGAATGAAAAAGCAAGTGGGGTAGCCTGTAAATACAAGGTAAAAAATTTACCCCAAAGGAAAACGTGTCAATTAAAAAAAAACTTCCTAAAAAAGAATACATGTCAACTAAAAAGAAACGGAGGTAGTATATGTTAATATTGTGAGAATACCTTTGATATTACTCTATTTTTTTTTTTTTTTTGGTGTTTAGAGAGACGCAAGTATAGGTGATGAGAACTGATCCTCAAATCACCTAGAATCGGGAGGAGAGCTCTAACCACTTGAGCTACTCCTCACTCTTTGATATTACTCTTTATAATCGTAAATGTGTACTTTGTATCTTAATAATATTATATAATCTTATTTACTTCTTCCTTTTTTATTTAATTGACACGTTTAATTTAGGGGAGAGGAGAGGGAATGATAAAACAAATGAGGTAGACTAATAAATACAAAATATAAAAACTTACCAAAAAAAAAATTGTCAACTAAAAATAAACTTCCTAAAGAGGAATAAGTGTCAACTAATAAAAAAAACACTTTTATTCTCTCTCAAGCATTGACTTAGATATCGGAGATTCTGAATAGATATTCTTGAACACCCCCAACCTCAATTCAATCTCCTTTCAAAAAAAAGTAAAACACAAGCAACTAGAACAAAAGCCTTTCAAATTCTACATGAAATTAGGGTCTGTTCTGAGTTATTGAACTGAACTAAACTGAACTGAGTTGAAATTAAGAGTCTGTTCTCATACGTTTATTTTCAGTTCAGTTCAGTTCAACTCCTAATTTCCTTCTCTTATAAAATATTCAGTTCCGTTCAGCTGATTTCAGTTTATTAGAACATGTCCTAAGTCCAAGAGAACATGCCCTTAATCCCTAACTTTAGCGAATGTTGTATAAGATAGGTTGAATCAACATCACTTTTTATCAGGGGCTCCCTTAAGGAAAAGTACGAAAAAGTACTGTAATTTCACTTTGTATTACTCTTCTTTGAATGTTAAGCAACAAATTAAGGCAATCATACCCTCCGTTCATCACGCAAGAACTTCGCACGCAACCCAAGACATGAAAAATAAGAGGTGGTTGTGCATAGAGTTAGTAAAAGTTAGTAACC